CACCACCCACAGCATTACCCCCATCACCGCCTCCCTCAGCAGCATGACCCCCTCCATCACATCACCTCCTCCCTCAGCATTAGGCCCCCTCACTATCACTCCCCCCACCATCACCCCCACTCACCATCACCCACCTGTCCCACTCACCATCACCCGCCTCTCCCTCTCACCATCACCCCCCTCTCCCTCTCCCTCTCCCTCTCACCATCACCCCCCCTTCAAGCAGCTACCCCATACACATAGGGTACCAGGCAAAAAACGCAAACATGCTCACAGAGACATACATTCACACACACACAGATACTCTCTGTCAGACACACTCTCAGGCACATACACAGGCACATACACAGGTAACTGTGACAGTGTGCATGTATTGCAACTCTATTTTTTTCACTTTTTTGTTAGTGGGGCCTCATGTTTGAGTTTCACCTAAGGCCTCATAAAGTCTAGAGCCGCCTCTGCAGAAGGAGCCTCAGAAGAAAAAGAAAACTGTGTCAAATGAAGGAGAAGAAAATGAGATTGGAGCACTTCATTCTGGACACCACATCATAAGGCTTTGGTACCTGGGCCTGGCAGGGAAACTTTGGACCTTCTCATCTCCCCAGGTTTAAAAAAAAATAAAAAAATAAAAAAATATCAGTCTTAATGTGTTCACTTTAATTTACTGAGTGTCAGGAAACACAGAGGGCTGCTGGGTAGGGGTGCCGCTGATTGGCTAGAGGGTCAGCTGGCACTCTAAGCCAATCAGTAGCTCCCCATTCTTGAAAACGTAAAACATTTTTATGAATCGGGAACTAGCGATTGGCTTAGAGCGTCAGCTGACCACTCTAGCCAATCAGCGGCACCCATGCCTGAAGTCAATCTGCACTTCCTGACACTCCGTTTAAGAAGCTGAATACCACTGACCGACCTGGAGATCTGGAGCTGGAGGAAGCCTTTGGGGGTAAACCATTTGAGAGTGGTTTCACCCCTTAAAGGAAAGAGAGCGCCCAGGGGCCTCCTTGCATCATAGCATTTTCATTTAGTTGAAGTTGTTATGGTGACCAGAATGTTCCTTTAATTTGATTAAAGGAACACTATAGTGTCAGGAATACAAACATGTATTCCTGACACCATAGTTGTAAAAAAGCTATTCACCCTGGCTTTATGTGAAAATGACTATGCTCCTTCCCTTTCATGATACTGTCAAAAAGGTACCAAGCATGGATGTCCTTACAATTATGCCCCCCCCCTGGAAAAATTCCTGCGGACGCCCATCCATATAATATTGCATTTATTACAACAGTTCTAGTCTAAAGTATAAGATTGATTCCCCAACTAAGCAGCTGAGAATATCTTTATAAAAAGATAGATTCTTTCATTTAGAACTGCTGTAGGATTAAGTATGGGCAGTGGTCAGTCTGAAATATCATAAAAAACATCGTTGTAAAGGTAACTATCTATCAAAAACTAAAAATAATTCATTTGTCTTCCAAAATTCCAATCCAATTAATGTATTGATCTTGTTTATTTATAAGATGTATAGAGGAGACCGGTAAATCTTTTTCCATTCGGAGTTGGAATAAAATTTGGTTAATTAGCTGACTCCTCTGGAAAGGAAGATACGACTTCCATTGTCTTGCTATTAATATCTTTACCGCCAAAAAGCAGTGGTTTGCAAGGCACTTGGATGAAATGGAAGAAAGTTTCCAATTTAAATGTAGCAGTGCTGTATCAGGGCCTTTTTTAATTGTAATATTGAATAAGCATTTAAGTATTTCAAAGGACCACTCCCAAAGACTTTTAACTAAGTTACAATGCCACCATATATGAACAAGTGTTCCATCTAAATAACCACAGCGCCAACAATGAGGAATTTGACCTAGATACATCTTGCTTAATTTATGTGGCAGTTTTGACTTAAATTTAGTGCAGGGTGTACATGTGGCTGTAACTAGTAGGCCGGAATTCTATGATCAGTTTCTATATATTGACTGTTGGAAACCGATTGTTGAAAAACTGCCTTGGTGAGTTAAACTGTGTCATATGAGAAACAATGTAGCCATATGGTGGTCAGAACTAAGGACTTAATTACAACTGCTTTGGACATCCCCTCCCCCCCTGGCATCTGATTACCAACCCCCTTATTCATCATCCAGAGCCAGAGTAGCCATTCCCCCACTCTTCCTCCCAAGCTAAAACTGGTATAGCTGGTATTTGCACTCCCCATGCCCTATTGTCCCCGCCTACCCACATACCTATCTGTTCTTTTGTTTCAAACTCTTGTATTTCTGTACCAACCTCCACTGATTCTTTGTAATTTGAACTGACTTCCTTTTTGGTAGGAGTGTATTTTAGCATTGAATTTTATTAACAATTAAAATTGTGAGGAGAATTCTTAATAACAGTAACTGAGTGTATTGGATCAGATAATTTTCAGCATCCTTTTTTAGTTACTGGATGGGCCCCTCCCAGCTTTGTCCAAAATATCCCCTTTACTAAAATACAAACTGAGATGTTTAATTTACCATAGAACTAAAGCTTTACTCAAGCCTAGATATCAGGGTGAACAGTGATTAAAATACGTAATAATAAAATAAGCACATAATTAAAGTCTATCTGCTTCATTAGACTTTAGGGAGGCACTCTAGGGCCACCTACTGGCCATCTTCGGGAGTTAAATTGATATTACATCGTTTAATCATCTTTAACGCTATACTGGCATATAACAGACAGAAGTAGGATTGCTTACCCTATTTAACCCTTTAAGGACACATGACATATGTGACATGCCATGATTCCCTTTTATTCCAGAAGTTTGGTCCTTAAGGTGTTAATATATTTATTGCTATAAGGTTTTATTCTATTTTTTTTTAAATCGTTTTTATTTTTTCAGGAATGGTAGTAGGTTATACAAATCAATACAGACATAAATTGTGTCTCGGGCTCGTATGCCCGAATAGTATTTGAAAACCTTTTGATCCTTTTCGGGTGAATCATAACGCATTACATCAAACGTTATTCTTGGCGGTTTTATGTCTTGTCTGGATACGCGTTATTAGCAGTCAGTGAGTGATAAGTTGTTGGGCTTGGCGTAATCGAGGGTCTCCGTCTCCCCCCACCCCCCGTCCTAAACCTATATAGCTTGGTTTGTCCTTCAGTATTCTCGTGTCCATCTAGTGTAGTCCAACCCTTGGTCCCCCGTGTCCTGCCATTGAATTGGTGGTTCGTGGATGTGGATCCTCAGTCAGGTCGTGTATGTCAGACGTTTTAATAATGGACCTCTTCCAATAACCTCTGGGCTGTTCGCCAGCCTCACTAGCAGTTCTAAGTATAAGGGTGAGGCCTGGGACGTGTTGCCCTCTCCTTTCATATCATTCAGTCCCTCTAATGTTCATGTTTACCTCCAGGGCTGGGATTGGGTTGGTAGCTTCCGAGATTGGGAGGTTGTCATATATTCCTCTCCATTATGTCTAGTATGATCTCTTCTAGGGCCTGTGTCTCACTCAACCTCTTGTATGTTTGTAGTCTTGGTGTGTATGTAAGTGTGCAGTTACCTAGGAATAAGCTTTAGCATAGCCGGAAGGGGAGAGAGATTAGAGGCGTTAGGTTTCCAGTTCCATCCAAGTTCCAATGCACACAGTGATCCCAGGGTCCCTGTCCCTGGGTAGTCATAGTGGGATAGGGAACGCAGTCCATTAATGTCCCTATGCTCCCCCGCAGGTGTCACCTCCCCCCCGTCTCGTCCACCCTTCTAACGGTTGCGGGATATAAATACAAACCATGGCTGCCATCTCTCTGCATGTTTGTCCCCTCTACCGAGCAAGGAGGCCTGCATCGCCTCCGCACCCTGAATGTCCTCTACCCTTTGGATCCATTCCTCTTCCCGAGGTATCTCTGTTTTCTTCCAGTATGCCGGGATCAGAGCTTTCGCCGCGTTGAATAGATGACGCATGATCGACTTTTTATAGGTCGCTATCGACATCTCCGTGATGTGTAGGAGTGTCAGTGCAGCCGACCATTCCGGTGTGTCCCCCAGAATTTCTGATATCTTCTGTCGGATCATCTCCCAGTATGGGGTAATCACAGTGCATTCCCACCATATGTGTATGGTCGTGCCCCTCTCCTCCCCGCATCTCCAGCATGTTGGGGGTGTTGTTGGGAAGATCTTGTTTAGTAGCGTTGGGGTCCTATACCATAGCGCGATCAGTTTGTAGTTCGTTTCCTGGTATCGTGAGCTGGTGGAGCTCTTGTGTTGCCATATCAGTGCCTTGTCCCAGTCTTGTGGCGTGAAGGAGATATCCAGCATCATCTCCCAATGCCTGCGAAACGTATTATTCTCTGTTAGGTGTCCCACCAGGAGGTGTTGGTAGAGAGTGGATATCGCCTTTACCAGAGGTAAGCCCTTTTCACAGGTCGCTTCAAACCATGTAAGGTCCCTGTGAATGCGGTGGTTATTGCGCATTGTCTCATAGTAATGCTTTACCTGTAGGTATCGCAGCACTATCAGTGGTGAGCGGGGCCTGTCTCCCAGCAACGATTCTATGGTCCTCAGTGTGCCATCCCGTAGAATTGTGGAAATGGGGACATGTTCCCTATCTTCCGCGAAGGGCCATGCCTCTGTCGGTATGCTTCCCCCAATCGCTTCGTTATCAGTGATAGAGATCATTGGGCTAGGTATGGGCAAGATATGCGGTTGTTCCCTCACGCGTTTCCAGCTCGCTATGGTTTGTGCAATCAGGTCCCCCTCTTCTCCATCGTTCATAGTCCTTGCCCCCCCTGTCCATATGGCCGCTTGTATGTGGGCCCCTCGTCTCTCTTTAGTCAGGGCTACCCATTGTTTGTGTGTTGTGTGCGTGTGCCATTCCAGAATGCGCTGCAGGACAGTGGCTTGGTGATAGCGTTTGAAATCGGGCAGTGCTAGTCCCCCTCGGTATCTTGGTAGACAGAGTATGTCATGTCGAAGCCTCGACTTCTCCCCTCTCCAGACATAGCGAATGACCGCCGACTTCAGTGCGGAGAAGAAGGGCACAGGTATGGCCAGTGGTAGCGTTTGAAACGGGTATAAAAGCCTAGGCAGGATGTTCATTTTTAGAACTGCTATTCGCCCATGCCATGATATATGTGGGTAGGCCCATCTTTTTAGGTCCTCCAGTATCGTTCTCAGTAGTGGGACAAAGTTCTGTGAGTAGAGATCTCCTGGTTTATTTGTAATCCAGATTCCTAGGTATTTCATTTTCTGGGAGCACCATCGGAAGGGGAAAAGGTCATCCAGAGCTGTGTATTCCTCTTGAGGTACCGTGATGTTGAGCACTTCGCACTTGGATAAATTAAGTTTAAGACCAGAGATCTTGCCAAAGCGTTTGAATGCCGCCAATAGGCATGGCATCGTGATTCTCGGTGACGTTACGTAGAATAAAAGGTCATCCGCGTATGCGGCCACCTTATGCTCTACCTCTCTCCAGGAATATCCCCGAATGTCTGGTTGCTGCCTGATGGTATGGAGTAAGGGCTCCAAGGTCATAGCAAAGAGCAATGGGGATAGGGGACATCCTTGGCGTGTGCCATTTGAGATCTCAAAGTCTGCAGTGAGTGCGCCATTCACCCTCACCGCCGCCCGAGGTTTGTTGTATAGTGCTTTGATCCACGTGAGGAGCCCCTGTCCCATTCCCATTTTGTTCAGCGTTGCTAACATGTAAGGCCATTTCACCCTATCGAACGCCTTTTCGGCGTCTGTGGATAGGAGGAGGAGGTGTTCTCGTGTTTTCCTCGCCCTATGTTGTATCGCGAACGTCCGTAGGGTGCTGTCTCGCGCCTCCCGTCCTGGGATAAATCCGGTTTGGTCTACGTGTATCAGAGCTGGTAGGATAGATTGGAGTCTAGTCGCCAGAACTTTCGTGAATAAAAGAGAGTGATTCGTTAAAACTGCTGGGGGGGGGGATTCCTCCATACACCCTATAACCTGTTCAAAGGGTGGGTGTGTCCAGGTTCTACACCCCTTTGGGCCCCAGGCCCCAAGCAAGCAGTTGTTGTCCCCATCGTCTCGATAGGCATGTGCAAGTCGATGAGGGCATTGTGAGGTGGATCTGTATACCCCCGTTCCCGGGTAACTCGTCCGCTGTTCCTCTCCTGAGTATGATCATGCATGGGCAATTCTTCCCCAATACCCCCGCCCAAAATCCTAGTATCCATGTGCTTACTCAAGGGGCCCCCCAATTCACATGGTGCATGAGGTGGGTTCTCTCTAGTCTGGTGTCAATAGGGTGGTTGGATCGTTCCGTGATGTATGGTCGTGGTGCCGGTCTGAGGAGCGTTGGCCTGTAGTATAAGCTTGAATAGGTTTGTGAGAAGCTCTTCTATGTTTTCACCTCCTTCAGCTTCAGGGATTCCCCTGATTCGTATATTGCATCTTCGGCCTCTATTATCAAGGTCTTCTAAGTGTCTGCGCATATGTAAGAGCAGATGTCCCTGTCTGGCTATAGCTGTGTCAGATGCCACTATTCTTGTGTTTTGGGCCTCAGTGGTGGCCTCTAGGGCCTCTATGCGGTTTGTGTGTGTGCTCACCTCCGCCCGGATTCCCGCCATCTCCGCCCGCAGGGCGTCTTGAATGGTGGTAGTGAGAGTCAGCAGGTCAGCTTTAGTGGCCATGGCCGCCGTCATTGTCCTCAGCTCATCGCTGATCCGTTCCAGGGTCGCGGAGTCAGCACCCGCCGCCGAGACAGGTGATTGTGAGGCTGGGTTCGGGCTGTCAGGCCCGCCATCATTCCCACGTGGTGGGTGCAGGAATCCGTCCATGGTGCCCTGTTGCGGGCCCGTTTGCGGGTCCCTCGGGTTCTGGGAGTGCTCCGTGCGGCGATTGCGACCCATTGGTACACTGCAGCTTATTGGGGATCGCGTTCTGGGGTTTGGTGTGGCGGAGCTCAGGAATTAAGCCGCCATCTTTGTCGGTGTCTAGGCCACGCCCCTATAAGGTTTTATTTTATAACAAAACAAGGAGTAGAGTCAGCGCTAATCAGGAAGGCAGCAGTCCCAAACAAGGACTCCCTCTAATGTCCCTGGAAATAAATAGACAAAGCAAGAAAATGGGGGATGGGTCTGCGCCACTGTGCACAACAGATAATGATATTAAGTCCAATAGGATCTATATCGTTGTATCCAAAGTTCAGTATAAGGCTTTATGGATAAACCATTTTTTTTGCTATCCATTGATCCATTGATAAAGCCTTATACTAGAGAAACACGTTTGGATACTTTTACTGTTTTTATATACTGTTAATAAAAAGATTTTGGTCATTTTTTACGTTGAAACCATCATCTTTTACTACTACCTGGCTTTTATATATATTTTATACTATATACTTCTTTTATTATTTACCGCTGTAAGCCATTCACACCAGAGCTCTTCTATTTTTATATATTTGGATTATCCTCCACGTCATTGACATCTTCTGGATATCGTATAAAGTAGAACTTTGGATACAACGATATCGATCCTTTTGGACTTAATATCATTATCTGTTGTGCACAGTGGCACAGACCCATCCCCCAAGGTTTTATTTTATGTATAAATATATTAAAAGTTAAGTTTTATTATTAGACCCATAAAGATTATTTTGATACAATTACTTACCCTCTGGTGACACCTACTGGTAGGTTTTTGGTTTAACACTTTTTTTATTTTTTTCATCCTCCAAATGCCGACTAGTAAAATTAGCTCACCCCCTTCCACCTATCTTACTACTCCCAGACCGGAACCTATTACTGAGCAGCCTTGCCGAAGTCCCATACTAACCCGACAGATGACTGGCACCCTTCCATCCCAACATTGCCAAATGCCCCTCCGACTTACACCAGGCCAAACACACGTTGATGAAAATGGCCAAATACAACAGGCAGATCCAGTGTTTGTCTATGTCCCATTCACCACAACTGATCTATTCAATTGGAAGACTCATAACTCTTCGTATACCAACAAACCTCAAGTCATGACAGATTTGGTTACCTCTATTATACAAACACACAATCCCACCTGGGCCGATTGCCAGCAATTATTATTAACTTTATTTAATTGTGAGGAAAGGACCCGGATTAATCAAGCTCTATTAAAGCGCTTGAGGAAACGGCCCGTACTCAAAATCAAGCCAATCCAGCTGCATGGGCTGCAGCCCATTATCCAAATGTTGACCCAAATTGGAATGTGAATGGTGCTGACATGCCCCAATTAAGGTCTTATTGGGAAGCCATTATTGCTGGCATGAATGCAGGAGGGAAGAAGGCAATCAATATGTCAAAGACGGCTGAGCTGTTGCAAAAGGTTGATGAGTCACCTAGTGCCTTTTATGAAAGATTATTGGAGTCATATAGATTGTATACTCCTCTTAATCCAGAGGCCCCTGAGAATTCTTGAATGATTAACTCAGTATTTGTCAGCCAGGCCCAAGGTGATATTAAAAGAAAATTGCAAAAGTTAGAGGGATTTGTAGGGATGTCCATATCACAGCTAATGGAGATCGCAAATAAAGTATATATGAATAGGGAAACTGAGACAAAGCGTGAGGAGGAACGTAAGATGAGGAAGAAAATAAACATGTTAGTGGTAG